AAATTCATGCAAGTCTGTGTAGTCACTCTTATTTTAGTTTGAGAGTCTTATTTCAGTGTAGATTAGTGTTTTTTTTTTTTTTTTTTTTTTTTTTTAGAGTTTTGCTAAACTGAAATAAACTATTATTAAACCAACCTAAAAGTGTTTACATGCAGATTTACACCAATTTTAAGTAAATTGGTTTAAAAAAGCAACTTGTTATAGTAGTGCAAATTTGTTCTTAGACAAGGCCCCAGATTATTTATGGATGAATCTCTTCTGGCAGGGGTATGTGTCTGACAATGAGGGAATTGTCATAACAAACCCATTATTCCATTAAAATTGGAGAAGTCTTTTTATATGAGAGAGACTAAATTTTGGACATGAGGCTCTTGAATCATGGCCAGGAGAGGGCTTTTTTTCTTTCAGCAGGTCATAAAACCTACCCAATATTAAATATGTCCTTGCAGAATTTAATGGATAATCACTGTCTCTGTGTTGAGAAGTGTTCCATTTCCCCTAGGAAATGGGTGACCTAAAAGATCTTCTGCATGAGCTCGTAATCTAAAAATCTAACTTAATATGTTTTAACTGCTTCAGTTCCTATTATATAGGTAGTATAATTGTATTCTGCATAGTACATCACCTTAGGATGGCACAAATGCCTTGTAGAGTGGGGGAACTTAATTACTGCCAGACTATAAGGATGTTGTTGTCAGTGTTTTAAATGCACTCTGGCACCCAGGCTTTCCTTGACCAAAGAAACAAGTATAGATACTGATCTCGGTCCTGTTGTCAATGGTGAATTTTCTTATTGACTACAGTGTGATCAGTGGGGGTCCATTCAGTGACATTAATCTCGTGAATCAGGTTTCCAGATACATTAAAATATCAAAGCCTACAGATGTACTCTGTAGAGGAAGTTGCTTCAAGTAATACTTAAAACACACATACACAGCACTTTCCATCTGAGGATCGCAAAGCACTTTACCATAGTGGGAATTTATTATCATTTTACAGTTGATGGGGTGGGTGGGTGGAACTGAGCGACAGAGAAGTTACAAAACTTGACCCACTGTATCACTTTAGGCAGTGACAAAGTCAGGAATAAATCAAGAACTCTTAACTCCAGTCGTATGTGCTCGCTTCTAGACTACACTAGCATTACTTGCTTGGAAAGGATGCCTAAACTTTTATCATAGAGGTTTGACAATACCTCCTTACTTTGAAGAATCAGAAGATGGGCATTCAGATCTTTGGAAGGGCACAAATTAGAATCCTTTATTAAGGTAAGAATCCGCTAGTGGTACTACTGTAGTTCAGAAAGTCTCTCTTCTGTGGCAGCGTTCACAAGAATGACTACATACAATCTATTGCATTTTTGGATACGTGTGATAAAGAGCATGGAATTATTTTGATGTTGAGCATTCACAGGACCCACTCATCCTGTTGGTGGGAAACAATGAGCTCCAGGTATCCCTATTGCCTTTCTCTGTGACAGATAGAAATGGGTCTTACTCACTAGCTTGATCTTGACATGAGCTACTTATAAACCTGCATTAATGGCTCAGTCTACCATGGGATGCACTGATAAAATGAACATGATAATTTTCTTTCCTGTCTAGATATCTAGTCAGTGGTACTCAGACTACGGCAGAAACCTTCATGGGGTGCTTAATGCAGGTCCATTGACTTAAACATACTGCAATGTGAATGATGAAGAGAGCTGCCATCCCTCTCCTTTCCTTAAGAAATAGGACATGAGACTCTGGTACTGATAGGAGTGGTAGGATTGGACTCTCTTCATGATTATTGACTTGTATTTTGTCTCTGCTCCCATAATACTGTGAACTATTTTTTTTTTAAAGCAGGGACAATAGCTTGTATCAATTTCCATCTTGAAATAACATTAAGCATTTTGGTTTCTTATATGAAGTTTAGCTGATTGTGATGGTGGGGTGCAACATAAAATGACAACAGCAGTTTCTGTGTGGTGTGACCTGGAAGCAGGGAGCAGCAGTTAGCTGCTGTCAAAGGGAGCAAGCAGTCAGCTTGGAAGAAGCACTAAGAACTGTAAGATTTAATAATTTTAAAAATGGAATATTCCTGTGAGAAGATTTTGAAATTGGGTTGAGGGTGAGAATTGCTGGCAGCTGGGACAGGAGGTAAGATATTCCTTAAACATATGTAAGTCATAGCCGAAACACCAAGAATTGATAATGGAAATCTAAAGCTACAAGCAGAAGGGCAAAGAGGGGAAAAAAAAAAAATTACATGTGGAGATTGGAGCTGTGCAGCTGAGGAAAGGTAACAGGTGATCAGAGTTCCTTTGCTGTAAGACCTCCACTTTGATGGAATAGCATAAAAGCTGTTCACTTTTTAATCAAAACCATATAATTTTGATAGGAACTTTAACACTGGCACAGACATGTACTTTATAAGCAGAGGATCTACACACACAATCTTAGGCTGTATTTTTGTGCTCCTTTTCAGTTTTGTTTGACTGAACGTAGTGTCATCTTTTTATTCTTTCAAGTCCCCCAATAAAATCATAATTCTAAGTTTATGATGCCGTTTTCACACTGGAAATGACTGTAATTAAAAAGTCACTCTCATGACATTTCAGGGTGAAGCAGAAGAAGGTGGATTGTAGAAAGACACTTGCTTAAGCACCAGTGGCTCCTTATGGACCTCACTACTATGAACTTAGCTCCTTCAACCCCCACTGAATTTAATAGGAAATAAAGGTGCACAATACAATGAAGGATCAGAGTTATGATTAGCCAAACTGACAAAGGAAAAATAAAGGAAAATGTGTTAAAGGCAAACGGATTTGTTATAGATCTTTGACATTTTCCCCAGTAGAAGAGCCCACTTCCCTCATTATGATTTCTATGTTTGCATGATTAGGCTCCAATCCTGCAGTCACGTCTGTATGGATGGACCCGTGTCAGTGAAGAGTTGCATTGATTTCATTCTCTTGCAGGGGTAAGCCCATGCAGTTCTAATTGCAGGCTTGGGGCTTTCAAGAGCTGAAAGTTTCTTAAAGAATTTCTACTCCCTAAGCAGAGTGTTCAATAAACTATACATTATTTTATACTTGTCTAATGCTAATCTTAAAATTTCTTGTTACTAATTTGTTATGCAGTGGCCAAACTAAATTAGCATCACTTGTTCTTTGGAACTCAAGTTGTCACTGAACTATCACTAATGCTGTAACGGGACTATTAAACAGAGTGCAAGGACGGATATACATTTGGTTATATTGCCTGGACTATGAGAGACTGAAAGCCCTTTCTAAATTTTTCATAGAATACATGCCTCAAATTAGATGTTAAAAGAATTAAACACAAGAAAATAGAAAAATAAAGGCTCATTGTTTGCTCATTACCCTCCTTCACCATTTTTTGTTGGTTCTGTCCTCTTACTCTATTTCCAATGTTCTCTTGTTTGTCTTGTCCCCTTCCCTTCTAGCTCTGTCTGGGTTGTCCCACACTGTCTTGTGAGATAAGTAATTAGAAAGTGCTTTAAAAACCCCCAACAAATTAAACTGTGGATGTTTTTAACTGCCTTTAACTGGGTTAAAACCCAAAAACTAAATTGGGAACTTAAAATGTGTCATTTAGAGAGAGATTAGAAAACAACAATCCTAGCTAATGGTGTCATGGATGTTAGTAAAGCACACTTAAAATCTGCAAGCAGGCCAGTTGCTCCATTATGAAGGCCTGAGTTTGACTGTGGAGGCATTATGCTCTGCATGTGGAAGGGAGAGAGTTCCTTGTACAGGGATCTATTTGGCCAATACAGAAGAGGTGTTTATAGCACTTGAATAGAGTATCATCAAGCCATCCTTGCAAGGATTGCTGGCCTGTCACAAGTTCATTGGTTTGGGGGGAGAATGATTAAGGGGACTAATGAGTAATTCTGGGAACTCTGAAAGGGTCCTCAGAGGACTTATTGGGACCAGAGAAAGGGACGCAAAATAAGCAGACCAGCCCTTCTCCTTCTGAAGACTTAATTATAAGAGAAGTCACACTGTTCCATGAAGAATTTAAGCTTGTACGTAAGCAAGCGATTGACTCAAGAGCTAAAAAAAACCACTGATCTTCTTTGCTAAGTAACAGAAACAATAGGCTTAATAGGTAGCTTGCAGATAGTAAGAGGGTCATGAGCATAGGAGGGCAGAAGTTGTGACATGGGTTGCCAACCCTCCCGGTTTTGCCGGGAATCTCCTGGAATCAGGCTCTATCTCCCGGAGGCTACTGAAGCCAAACCAGGAGATTTTAGGTGCTAAAAGTCTGGTGGTGCAGTGGGGCAAAGGCAGGCTCCCTGGCTCCACACCGCTCCCGGAAGCAGCCCGCACATCCCTGGGGAGCCCAGGGGGTCTCTGTATGCTGCCCCTGCCTTGAGCACCAACTCTGCAATTCCCATTGGCCGGGAACTGTGGCCAATGGGAGCTGTGGGGGCGGTGCCTGCGGGCAGGGGCAGTGGGTGGAGACCTCCTGGCCCCTCTCACTAGGAGCCGTTGCCAGAGGGATGTGCCAGTCGCTTTTGGGAGCCACCAGAGGTAAGCACCGCCCAGCCGGAGCCCTCACCCCCTCTCACACCCCAACGCTCTGCCCCAGCCCAGAGCCTGCACCCCAACTCCCTCCCAAGAGCCTGCACCCCTACCCCCTGCCTCAGCCTGGTGAAAAAGAGGGTGGGGAAGAGCAAGCAATGGAGGGAGGTGGGATGGAGTGAGCGGGGGGCATGACCTTGGAGAAGGGGTGGGCTGGGGGGGCAAAGGTGTTTGGGTTTGTGGGATTACAGTTGGCAACCCTAGAGACCATTGTTTCCACTGTTTTACTTTCATAAAGAGTGTCTCAGCTATGATCTTAGAGTTGTTTTCTTATCAAACTGTTGTTGTTTGTTGAAAGACTTAGATAATTAATGCAATATGTGGTATTAATTTTGAAACCAGTTTTCCCTCAGGCATTTTAGGCAATTGACTGGTGACAGTTTTGTTTTTGTTTTTCTTATAGCTCTACAGATACAAACAGAAAAAACAAGTCATGATGTGCCTTACCTTTCGCCTGGAAAGGTGAATATCTCTTTCAGATAGAGATGGCTGACAAAGCTGGAAAGATCCTCCCAGGACCACTGTACATTGAAGTGGAGTATGATTATGAGTATGAGGCAAAGGATAAAAAGATTGTGATAAAACAAGGGGAGAGATACATCTTAGTGAAAAAGACTAATGATGATTGGTGGCAAGTCAAAAGGGATGAAAATTCCAAGCCCTTCTATGTGCCAGCACAGTATGTGAAAGAAGTAACACGAAAAGCACTAATGCCACCTGTTAAACAATCAGGTGGTCTGCCAAATAGCTCTTTGAAACTGATGCATAGTTTACAGAGGTCGACAGAAAATGTGAACAAGTCGCCAGAGCTTTCTAGTTTTGGAAAATCCTCTCCAGTGTCTGGCCTAGTTCGTGATGCCAATCAGAATCTGGGACCAAATAGTAGCCCAGGTCAAAATCTTGGCCTGAGCCTGGACCTTGCCCAAAATAATGGAAAACTTAACAGTGAGTTGCAGTCCCCCAAGGTTTCCAGCCAGTACAAGTCTCTCTCTCTGGGCCATTTCACTTGTCCAGAGTTAATGGAAATCGAGAAGACCAGCTTCTCACATGAACAGTCCTGTGATTCAGCAGGGGAAAGCTCAGAAAAAGTCCATCAGGATTCAGAGTCTGGAGATGAACTCAGTAGCAGCTCCACAGAACAAGTGCAGGTAAGCTTGAAAAGGATCTAAGTGGATTTTTTTCTTTCTCAATTATACATCTTTGATGTAGTTTACTACTGTTTTTAATTTGCTTCCTAAATAGAAAGAATTGGAAGATTGAGGTGAAATCTTCATTTCATATTTTTCATCTCATCTAGCATGGCATTGATTTGTCAAGTTAGAAAAGTTGGCATGTAGAATTTATTTGTAACAAAAAGTACTTTGCTTTGTGCTCTTATTCTCATTTACAATGTCCATGGAAATGAATGGCATAGAAGAACTTCAATTAGAACTATTTTTTTTCAGTGTTCAACATGTAATTGGAAATGTGAATTTAAGTAGTTCTTAGTGACTCTTCCCTAGAGGAAGCAAGCCCAGTGCTGTTAATTTCAACTTCTGGGTTCACTGAACTTTAGTCCAGATGCATGTGATGGTCACTAGCCACTGTCATTGATTTCTTATGTATATTGTATGTAGGTAATATTGTATGTAGGAAGTATGGAAAGGTGGATGTAATTAATGGCTTAGTGGCTGTGAAATGGTACTTTTAAAGTTAATGTTAACACTTAGTGTGAAAATATCTCAAGAACATTCCTATCTAGCCTTGAAATTAACTAATTAACTAATAACTGACATATTTGAGTTTTAATTCAGAGATATGCTGAGGTTTGAAAGAAGTAGTGGTGGTAAGGGTGGCTTCTTACCAAAGCCAGTTAGTGACAGCTTTAAAAAAAATTGACTCTTTAGGCTAAAAGGCAAGATACCAGGGTTGCTATACCTTTGGTTATCTTAGTAAAGTCTCTTTTGGCTTACTAGGGAATGGGCTGGGGAGTTCACCAGTTTTTTTCCTGTAAGGCAGGGGTCTCAAACTCAATTTACCTTAGGGCCAGGGCCAGTCCTCAGATCTTCTCAGCGGGCCAATTATGTCACTGAAGATGGTGTTCAGAAAAGAGAACTTTTATATTGTATTTTTTATTTTGAATTTCTTATAAAGTTGTATGACAGTTTTTTATTATTTCTACAATTCTTCGCCTGCCAGAGAGTTTTTAGTGTTTGCCAAACACCTGGCAACACTTCAGTTCAGTTTGTTGATGTTTGGCTTCAGTGACTGAGCAGTTGAAACCTTCAGGATTGCAGCAAGGTGTGCATCAGATAATTGTGTTCAGTATTTTAACTTGTTTATATTCATTGTGGGGGAAAAAAGTGACACTGCCTCTATGGCTGACTCTGCCCGGCAATTAATGATGCTGCCTCCATGGCTGACTCTGCCTGGCGACTAGTGATGGTATCTCTTTCCCTCTCCCCCAGCCAATGGGAGCTGCGGGGGGTCTGCAGGCAGCATGGCTGCCTGCGTCTCTCCTCCACCGGCTGGGTTCTCGGGCTGCAGATGGCCCGCGGGCTGGAACTTTGAGACCCCTGCCGTAAAGACTGCTAGAGAGCCATTGACTGGTAATGGCGATTTGACACTATAGTTCTAGACCATTTGAACCATTAACATAGAAATGTAAGGCTCTGTGTGCTTTTTCCAGTCTGAGAGGTCACTTTAAACGGTGATATACATTATCTCTGTAATAAATTCTACATTTTCCCACTCTTGCTTTGATACTGTAGTTTGAGTATGTACTGACAAACATTGATTGTAAATCAATTTATCAGCAACTATTTAACACCCAAAAATATTTTAGTTTAAGGATGGTATTCAGATAAGGGTAGACTGTAATTTTAGAAATGAAATCTTGATTATATGGCTATTAGCTGGAATCAGTTTGCTGAAAAGCCACAATTAAGGCAATTTTCTTTTAGGAAATTCCACAGCGTAACTTGCAAAGCTTTGTTACATTGCTCAGTTAACAAGAACCAGTACAGTTGGTCACCTGGACCGTACACACATACATTTGGATTAGTGGTACATTAATCTAGTATCCTGACTGAGAGTGGCCAGTACTAGATGCTTCAGAGGAATGTACAAGGAGCATTGTATTGGACAGTGCCACTACCCCACTTGGCAATTTATTAAGACAATGTTTTTCTTAATCCCATTCAATGAGAGGTTGGTTTATGCACTGAATCATGAGTATTTGTATCCCCTAAAACTTTCTAACCAATAAAATATAACGGTGGGTGTTCTTGTTACATGTACAATCCTTTTTTGTATCCTACTCGTCTCCCCATCTCAAAAAAGATACATTAGAATTGGAAAAGACAGAGAAGGGCAACAAAAAGGATTAGGGGTATGGAACAGCTTCTGTATCAGGAGAGATTAAAAAACCTGGGACTTTTCAGTTTGGAAAAGAGATGACTAAAAGGGGATATGATAGAGGTCTATATAATCTTGACTGGTGTGGAGAAAGTGAATAAGGAACTATGATATACTCCTTCACATAACACATGAATTAGGGGTCACCAAATGAAATTAATAGGCAGCAGGTTTAAAACAAACAAAATTAAGTAGTTCTTCACACAATACACAGTTATCCTTTGGAACTCATTGCCAGGGGATGTTGTGAAAGACAAAACTAAAGCAGGGTTCAAAAAAGAACTAGATAAGTTCATGGAGGATAGGTCAATCCATGGCTAGTAGCCAGGATGGTCAGGGATGCAACCCCATGCTCTGAGTGTCCCTAGCTTCAGCTTGCTGGAAGTGGACGACACAGGATGGATCACTTGATGACTGCCTGCTCTGTTCAATCCCTCTGAAGCACCTGGCATTGGCCACTGTCGGAAGACAGGATACTGGGCCAGATGGACCATTGGTCTGACCCTGGATGGCTGTTCTTATGTACTAAACTGTTGGCCTCTAATTTGAGGCATTGTGTTCCATGGATTATGGTTGTGTCTTTGTTTGTTAAGGTGGTTGCCTTTAATTTTCATTGTCCCTTTTTCTTGCATAATGAGAAGGGATAAATAGGATCACTGGATTTATTTTCTCCATATTGTTAATTTTATATATTGCTACCATGTCCTCATTTATTTAGCCTTTGAACTGTCACACTTTCAGTTTTTTTAAGTGTGAACTTTTAAAGCAACATGTTTTATGCACTGCAATTGAGAGCACCACAGAGAACTAGTAAGGATGAAATATATATTTAACTACTCTTTCAGCATTGGCAAAATGTTTAGTGGCACATCAACTGTTGATATGGTGACTTCCAAATTAATGACAAGGATGAGAGAACTCTTTAAAAGGGTACTCTAGTTAAAACACTTTTTTTGGTGCTTTCTATATTGCTTTATACAATCCCACTAAAATGGGAAGAAACATCGTATTAGAAGCAGCAAATCTAGTCAATTCCATTTGTAGTATAAGTAGATGCTCTTAGCATTGCATGGCTGATCATGCTGTCACACTTATTTATGTTTATAGTTTAGTCTTCAGCTAATTTTGGCAATATTAGTAACAAACTAATGCTTTTTCAGTGAACTGAATATGCTAATCTTCATACATTTCTGAGGCGTTGGAGAGGAAAAAGGTCAATGTCATGGATACTTCTAGTATCCACTGTGTTTGGTGATGGGAAATCTTCATGGTGTTAAAAATGATGACTTTTATGATTTCAGCTGTGAGAAAACATGGCTATGGTTATTAATGTTGCTGTGGAGCTGTCGTTTACTGTCATTGCCTTAGGAAACAATTGCAAACCATATTGAACATTTGCTTGCTTGTTTTTTATTTTTTAAAGCAGTGGAGTAACTTAATCTTATCATATGGAATCATAATTTCATTAAATATAATTTAAATATTTGACATTTATTAGCCATCGGGATTAAAGCAGTGGTAGTGCTGATGTCGTTGTTACTGTATTGGCTTGGTTTAGCTATTACAAATGCCAGCCTTCTCCTCTGGAACGTCCTTCATCCTTTCAATAATCAGCATTGTTTAGCAGAAGTCAGCTGTGCAGAAATTAATGGCTTAGAAAGCTGTTTTTATTGCTCTCAGCCTGTAGTCAGAACATGAAGTTCCAAACCTGCATACACAAATACTTATTTTAATTTCATAAGGCAAGCTGAATCCTTTCTTTTTCATTGTAGAGTCCAGTCTTACGCAGTCTGTATCATAATAAACTTTAATTTACAGTACTATCAGAAGTTCACATTTATCTCCTTAGATTGATTCAACTTTTAGCCAAAAGTGAGAATGGTTTATTGAAATTGTTAAAATGTACAGTTAAAATGTTGTCTTAAAAGATTTATGGTTTAATTAGTGTCTGTAATGAGGCAATGAGGGGTCTGGGATTTTAAGATTTTCAGAAAAATTGAGAGCAATTTATCAGCAAATATAAACCAAAGTTTCCAGGTATGTTTATGAAACTATTTTTCACAGGTCTGATAGATTGCACCCAGGATTTCTGTAAAGATTTTAGGAAGGGATGTGTATGAGCTTGGGTGAGATGGGTATAGGCTGCTTAACACTTTTCCCACAGCAGTGTGAGCTTTTAAGTGTCTCAGAATCTTAGAATACATTTTTATACAGTTTTTGGCATTGATTTATACTATAAAGTTTTATTGCAGGGGGAAGCTTAGAATCTAATGTGCTCATTACCATGGTGTCTACCTAGCCTCTCAATTCAGTTCTAAAGGGTGGATTCCCTCCTCTGATTGGCCCATTGTTAGCCTTCGTTGCCCATTTGTTAAATTCTCAGACAAGCATCTTTGTGCTTTCTCAAACTCATGCTTGGAAAGAACTTCCTGTAAATGTTTGCAAAACTAACTCATTTTCTTCCTCCAAATCACTCCAAAGCTCTCCCTTGCTGTGATACCTACAAAAAACTTGACAATAGTTAGCCCCGACCTATCAGGCTGCCCAGTATTGTCTCACTGTTGACTTGTACTTCCCTGCTGATTAGTCTGTAGCCATTTGTTCTCTTGCCTTATACTTAAATTGTAAGTCCCTTGGGGGCAGGGACTATCATTTTGTTGTTTCTACAGCACCTAGCACAATGAGCTCCTGGTCCATGATTGGGGCTCTTTGGCACTATGGTAATATAAATAATAATAATAATTATGGGCAG